TTTTAATAAATATTGCACATCTGCTATATGCTAGATGTTTCTTATATTTGATTTCACTTTTCATAACAACCTTTTATGAGAACTATTACAATGTCTGTTTTATTGATGAAGAAATTGAACCTTAGAGAGAATAAGTAAAATTTCCAAGACTACTGTACATAGGTAATAAGTTTCAGATCCAGAATTTGAACATAGATTTCTCTCACTACATAGGGCCTGTATTCCCCACTAAACATGCTGCCTCCCATCTAGGACTTACATTGGTGGCGACCCCAATGATTATAGAGCTGTGTTTCCAAATACACTAGTCCTTAGACATATGTAGGTATTTAAATTTAAATTAATTAAATTAAAAATTTAATTCCTCAGTTGTACTAGCCACCTTTTAAGTGCTCAGTAGCCACATGTGACTAGTGGCCACCCCATATTAGATAGCAGATATAGAACATTTCTGTGATTGTAGAAAGTTCTGTTGGACTTTGCTGTTCTAGAGTTTTAAGTTAACTCTAATTTCAGCTACCTATATTTAGAAATAAAATTTTTATTTAGAGACTTGGGTATTTCCTGGAGCCTTGGTGATGCAGTGGTTAAGACCTCGGCTGCTAACCGAAAGGTCGGTAGTCTGAATCCACCGTTCACTCTTTGGAAACCCTATGGGGAAGTTCTACTCTGTCCTGTAGGGTCACTATGAGTCTGTGACTCAGAATCCACTTGATGGCAACAGGTACAGGTTGAGTATGTCCCAGTGAATGGAGGCTCCCTGAATCCTCAGAACTAAGGGTAATTAATGCAGGGCTGTGCAGGGTTCTGTAGTCTCTGCCAGAGTAGCTAATTGAATTGCTTTCTTATGTTCTGCCAAGGAAAGCTTCAGGTATGGAGAGAGGGAAGGGGGAGGGAGAGAGAGAGAGAAGCAGTAACTGTATTAGCTACGTCATCACATCACTACCATTTTAAATTGATTTTCCTAGAGATTTATTGGAAGTATTTTTATGTCTTAATTTCCTTTCTGATGGTCCTCCTCAAAATTAGTTGCCTCCTCTTCTACAAATTGCACTATATTATCTGGCATAGTGTCTTTATTTTCCTTTCCATGTAAAGCTCCCTCAGTGTGCTCCTGTTTTTACATTAATTTGACATCTTTCTCTCCTGCACCACTTCTGTAGCTCTGGCCTCTACTCCTGGTATTTTGCTGAATCAATTTCTTCCCTTCCCTTCCCCTTCTTCCCATCTCTTAGATGATAGTAACAGTGTTTCAGTTAACTCCTAAGACAGTGCCAAAGACTTGATGAGTTCCCAGATGTCAAGCAATTCCTGGTTATCCTTATATTTAGTCAGATGTGAGTAACAGTGATATAAATATGTCTTCACCCAAAGTAAAAAAAAATTTTTAGGTTGACTATTGGCTGAACTTCTAAGGAAATTTAATGGATTTTTTTTTTATTTTTTTGACATTAAAAATTTTTTATTTCATTCACACAAAAAATTTATTAGCAATTTTTGAAATGAAAGAAACTTTAAAAAGAAATAAGAAACATACTTTTCTAATAGTGTTAAAAACATTTGGCAGTGGTGTTAAATTCACAATCTTTACAAGTCTTTTTGTGATTGGTACTTTCATTCCTAATTAGTGTGTCACTCTGAATGAAAGGAAATAGACATTGGATGTATTCAACTGATCTTCCATTTCACAACTAGATGTCAGTGTTAACATACCTGAGTAGATGTCTCAGGTGTGATTATAATGAGGTAATTCAAATAGTTACTTACCTATATGAAATACAGATTAGAAAATACATGATAAAGAAGGAAAAGAAGTATAACTCCTTTTGTTGCCTGATTTCAGAGTTGGCTTGTTCTATATTTTTTTTAAGTATTGATTTTTTCCCACCTAATTAACTATGTATGATATAAGTGAAAAATTAAACTTTTTCACTTATTTGGTTAGGAAAAGCAGGTGGAGTGTGAACTTATATTTTTTTCATTACTACCAATCAGAGGTTCTTACCTACAACTTTTCCAGAAAGAGTGATCAGAAAAGGAAGGAAAATTATTGCTATTCAGATGTGGTGTGTATTTGTGTGTGTTTCTTGCTTACTTTTAATAAGAAACATTCTTGATAACGGGAATTACGCATGAGTTCTCAGTGATAAATCTTTCATTTCACCTAGAAGTCTCTCTTGATATAACTAAATCTGCCCTTTTTTTAAAATTCAGTCCTCATATAAATCAGAGCATGATATCCCTTATCCTTTCTCTGTAGATCCAATCTGAAACCCTTTAAAATCTTTTATATTGTGTTCTATAACTAGGGTATCTCAATTTTTTTACCCATGTTTCCTGTTGATAAATATTAAAATCTAGAATAATAACAAATATCATGAATAAAAACTAGTCAAACAAATAGATCAAAATACTGAAAACATATCCCTTCCTGCCACCTCCCACTAAAAAACCTTGATGGCTCTCCTTTCTCCTTATCTCTCTCACCTTTGAGAATTATTAATCCAGAGTCCATAACTTTTCTTCCTTCCCTGAATCACTTAAGTGATGGAGGTCAATTTGGCAAAATTCTGTAGAATTATTTTCACATTATTACACATTTTCAAAATCTGAAACTTAACAGTAAAGGTTTTTGGAGTCTATAAATTTAAACTGTACGGTAGGAAATACCAAGACAGCTTGTTTTGGGAGATTAAAATTTTGACAGATCTGACAGACTTGTTTTCTTTTCAGTGGTTATTTATATAAGTTTAACTTTTCCCACAGAAACAAAAGTATACCCCAAAACAATTTTGTTTTGAAAAGGTAGGTTGAATTAGTATTAATAATATCTCACTACATCCATTTCTCATCGTGGAAATAATATTTTAGGTCTTGCAATAGGTGTTAATTTTTTAACATTCTGAAATATGTGCTTCAATCAATGCAAACAGTGCATTTGCTTATTGATTTTAAAAATCTATTTTTCCTCAAGAAATGAATTTTCAGTTCATCAGTTCTTATATTGACACATGAAACACTCATTTGGCAGTTACTTTTTCTCATATTTTTTATGTCTTGAAGGCATGTAACACAAGAACATAAAATTAATTATTGATTGTGGTGCACATTTAGGACATCACTGTGTATTTTCAATCTGCCTGACAAAAGATAAATGTATATCAGCCAACTCCAGGCAATCCCAGTTTGCTGCGTGTATATAATGGATATGCAAGCAGACTACATCAAACTTACTACAGTATATCTTTTTGTTTAGCAAAACAATAAAATAGTACAATTAAATTTATTTAATTCTGAGCTCTCCTACAATAATTAGTAGGAGCTTCATTCTTGACCTCAATTATAATAGTTTGTGATTTTGCAAAGTGATCCTTATATGCTAGGTTTTTTCTTTTAATTTTTATTTTGTTGAAATATATATAACAAAACACTTGTCAGTTCAACCACTAATTTTTTTATCTTTCCAAGTCTTTATTGGTACATGTTTCCAGATCTCTTGAATGCCTTTGACAAAAATAATTTATAACCTTAAATTTATTTTATACTAAGGGAAGTAACTACTCATTGAATTTAAATTCATCTAGAGACAGCTTCCTATGATATTGCTAACTGGCCCTCAAAGTTTCCAGTGACATATATCCAAGGCACAGAGAACCTTACTTTTCTGCAGGGTACTTAGGCGATAAGTGGTCCTAGCCAAGTGTCTTGAGCCTAGTAGGCCCTTAGTAAATATTTACAGGTAGTCTCCGACTTGTGAAGTATTTGAGTTATTACAAACCGCACTTATGATTGTCGGTGTTTTTTTTTGTACATCCTGTCATTAGTAATATATAGTACATATGGTGTTGCAGCATGTAATTTGCTGATGTTATCATTCTCATGCTAACCCCCAAAGACAGACAAAGATCAGGTTTATAAAGATACTGATTAAAAAAAACAAACAAACCATTGCCGTCAAGTCAATTCTAACCCATAGCAACCCTATAGGACAGAGTAGAACTGTCCCATAGAGTTCCCAAAGAGCAGCTGGTGGATTTGAACAAAAGGTTGGCAGCTGAATGCATAACCACTGTGCCACCAGGGCTCCAAAGGCAAAGCTAGTCAAGTATGGTTGTGGGTGGAAGACAATGCTGAACAGTTTAACAGTAAGTCACAACCCTTGGACCAACTACTGATAATAAAAGACAGTAATAATGAAAACCAAAAAAAGAAAAAAAAGAGAAGTATTCGACTTAGGTCAGAACCAATTTATGACGGAGTTGTTGAAACAGAACTCTGTCATAAATTGGGGACTACCTGTACTTAGAGATATTTGTTCCTTTGTTATCTCTCTCGCATCTGCCTTCTAGGTCTTCGGGTAGTGATTGGTTTTTGAATGTGTGTGAGCCTTCTTCCTTGGCCTAATTCCTGTGTTGAGTTTTGTTTCCAAACCAAAATTAAAAAAAACCAAACCCGTTGCTGTCGAGTAGATTCTGACTCATAGTGACCCTGTAAGGCAGAGTAGAACTGCGGCATAGGGTTTCCAAGGAGTGACTGGTGGATTTGAACTGCCAACCTTCTGGTTAGCAGCTCAGCTCTTAGCCACTGCACCACCAGGGCTCCAGGGGGCTGCTGTATGAGCCCTAGCTACTAATATTTTTTTTCTTTCTGTTTTGATACTTGGGATGAGCTAAGCTAACTTTTAACCAGCGAACAATTATTAAAGAATTAGCTATTTGGATCTACTATGTGATATTGTAATAATTTCTCTCATGATTTTCTTAAGAAATCTCAAATACTTTTATTATTTTTAATATTTTTCAGATGGTTTTATTTTATTTTTTTAATTGTACTTCAGGTGAAGGTTTACAGAACAAATAGTTTCTCATTAAACAGTAGTACACATAGTGTTTTATGACATTGGTTAACAACCCCATGACATGTCAACCCTCTCCCTTCTCGACCTTTTTTTTTTTTGGTGAAAATATACATAGCCGAAGATACACCATTTCAAAAATTTCTGCATGCACAGTTCAGTGACATCGACTGACTGCACTCTTCCAATTGTGCTGCTTTTCTCACGTTAGATGAAGGTCAAATGCGTTTATTTTTGAAGCACTTAACTTCCTCCCACCCCTATTTGGAGCAGGGTAACACAGAATTGGTTTTGTATGTATTTTGGGGAAGGAGTGCAAGAGTAATTGCAAAATACGGCAGTATCTACACTTACATAGTTCAAATCTTGACTGCCATTTACAGAATATGGCAAAAATCTCTGAATCTGAAAACTTTTTAAAAATACTTTTCTTTAGCAATAAGATGGAAGGGTACATTCTTCTCATACTCTCCTGGACTGTCAAACTTTTTAATTTTTGGTCTTTGAAACTTTTAAATTTGAACACCAATTAATTGTTTAACTCATTTAAACAATGACCTAAACTTTAAATGAGTGAATTTTATGGTTTGAGAATTATTTCAATAAAGCTATTATATATAAAAAAAAAAAGTTACCTAAAAACATTTTCAGTGGTATTCGGAAGCAGCTTTGTATTAATGTTAGGAGGTGAGGGCCAGATAGTAGTTAATTTATTTAAATAAAGTTTCAAGTCATACGATTTTTAAGAACATAGTTCACTTTCCTATTTTTAGCTTAGGAAAACTTTCTATTCAATTCTTAAATATATCTAAATAGATGGAGACTGCAAATGTAAAAGATAATGACTAAAATAAACATTTAAATTTTATTTTTAGCATCGATTGCTGTTGGAGAGATGAACAAGAAGTACATATTCACATATTTCACTTATGCCGAGCTCCTGCTGGCCTGGATGTCTATTGATAGGCTAGATAACTGAGGAAATGAGGACATGTACTACAGAATTCTGCTATTTTGGCTTCTCTCCATAATGAACAAACTGATGTCAAGGACTTTATTGTTCTGTTTTTTAAGATACTCCGTTTATTGTTACAGAAAGCCATGTACCTGCACAAGTGGTGGCTGCCATTGATGTCAACACTGTTGCTAATGAAGTGTACAAGTATAATTTTCCTCACACACTATTACTGGCCAAGACAATTGAAGTGAGTAATGATTATTCTTGTTTTAATAAATATATAGAAAGGAAAATGTGATGGAAAAACCCTGCAATATAGTGATTTCTGATGTCTTAATTAGAAAACAAGGTCATATGTAAATGAGAAAATTTAGGAGAGGAGAATTAACATATTTTACAGAAGAAAGCATGCTACTATTGTTCTTTTTTTTTTTTTTTTTACTTTCAGCTTTAGAGAGATAACAGTATATTGGTCTCCAAGAGAAAGAATTAAAATGTGTAAGAAAATGCTTAGCTTCTAAATGCTTGGTTCTGTAGTGATATTAAATTTTTAGTTCTTTTAATTAATACTCGTGTGCCTTGTAACACATGGGAAAAACAAAGGAGGCAGTCATTGGCTATTACTTATTGAGTGCTTCTTACTTTAGTAAACTTGTCAAAATTAAAGACACTATTTCACCCATGATGAACTCAGCAGAGGTATTTAACATTGTATGTAAATTGATAAGTGTAAGAGGTCTGGAAGAAGCCAGAAGAGACAAATAAGACCTCTTAATAGAAAAGTGCTGCTATAACAGAAATACCACAAGTGGATGGCTTTAACAAAGAGAAGTTTATTCTCTCACAGTCTAGTAGTCTAGAAGTCCAAATTCAGGGCATCAGTTCCAGGGGAAGGCCTTCTTTCTCTCTGTTGGCTCTGGAGGAAGGTCCTTGTCATCAATCTTCCCCTGGTTGAGGAGCTTCTCAGCACAGGGACCCTGGGTCCAAAGGACACAGTCTTCTCCTGGCATTACTTTCTTGGTGGTATGAGGTCTCCCTGTCTCTCTGCTCGCTTCTTTCTTTTGTATCTCAAAAGAAATTGACTTAAGATACAACCTAATCTTGTAGATTGAGTCCTGCCTCATTAATGTAACTGCCTCTAATCCTGCCTCATTAACATCATAGAGGTAGGATTACAACACATAGGAAAATGACATCAGATGACAAAATGGTGGACAATCACACAGTACTGGGAATCATGGCCTAGCCAAGTTTACACACAAATGGGAGACACAATTCAGTCCATAACATTCACCAAATCTAGTTAAGCAAGATATGAATCAAAATAGAGAAACCAGGAATGAAGCTATCATTATAGGAAAGAAATTAAGGTTAGAAAACAGAGTGTAAATCTTAACAATGTAGAAATAATGTTATTGGAGTAGAAAGGGGAAGTGAGACAAAAATATGTCTATAGATGATAAATTAAGCTATAGATTTTTAAATTATTTAATGGTATGAATATAACTAGTAATAACACTAATATCACTAACTTATCTAGGTACAAAACTACTAGTCAGTAAAATATAAACTATTTAAAAAATTTTATTGTGTTTTAGGTGAAAGTTTATAGCACAAATTAGTTTCTCATTCAAAAATTTATACACAAATTGTTTTGTGACTTTGGTTGCAATCCCCACAATATGTCAGCACTGTCCCCCTTTCCTTTTACAAACTGCGTCCCCCATATCCATTTGTCCAGGTTTCCTGTCCCTTCGTGCTTTCGCCTTTGCTTTTGGGCAGGTGTTGCCAATTTGGTCTCCTATACTTGATTGAACTAAAAGGCACATTCCTCACGTCTAACCTTTGTCTGAAGAGTGAACGTCAGCAATGGTTTCAGTTCTGGGTTAGCAGCATCCAGGGGCCATAGTCTCGGGAGTTCCTTCAGTCTCTGTCAAACCATTAAGTCTGGTCTTTTTACATGAATTTGAGTTCTGCTCTATACTTTTCTCCTGCTCCATCCAAGACTGTCTGTTGTGTTCCCTGTCAGGGCAGTCATTGGTGGTAAGGGGGCACAATCTAGTTCTTCTGATCTCAGGCTGGTAGTGTCTCTGGTTTATGTGGACCTTTAGTCTCTTAGGCTAATATTTTCCTTGTGTCTTTGGTGTTCTTTATTCTCCTTTGCTCCAAGTGAGTTGGGACCAATTGATGTATCTTAAGTGGCCACTTGCAATCTTTTAAGACCCCAGATGCCACTCACCAAAGTGGGATACAGAGCATTTTCTTAATAAACTTTGTTATGCCAGTTGACCTAGATATCCCCAGAAACTGTGGTCCCCAGGCTCCAGCCCCAGCTACTCTGTCCTTCAAAGTGTTTGGATATGCTCAGAAAACTTCTTAGCTTTTACTTTGGTCCAGTTGTGCTGACTCTCTGTTTATTGTGTGTTGTCCTTCCTTTCACTGAAAATGATAACCTTGAGTACTATCTAGTTAGTGAATTCCTCTTCCCCTCACTCTCCACCCTCGTAGCCATCAAAGAATGCTTTCTTCTGTGTTTAAACCTTTTCTTGAGTTCTTATAATAGTGGTCTTATACAATATTTGTCCTTTTGCAACTGACTAATTTCACTCAGCGTAATGCCCTCCAGATTCATCCATGCTGTGAGATGTTTTGCGGATTCATCATTGTTCTTTATTGTTGTGTAGTATTCCATTGTGCATATGTACCATAATTTGCTTATCCACTTGTCTGTTGATGGGCACCTAGGTTGTTTCCATCTTTTTGTTATTGTGAACAGTGCTGCAGTGAACATGGGTGTGCATATGTCTGTTCATGTGACTGCTCTTATTTCTCTAGGATATATTCCAAGGAGTAGGATTACTGGATCAAATGGTACTTCTATTTCTAGCTTTTTAAGGAAGCACTAAATCTATTTCCAAAGTGATTGTACCATTTTACCTTCCCACCAGCAGTGCATAAGTGTTCCAGTCTCTCCATAACCTCTCAACATTTATTATTTTGTATTTTTTGAATTAGTATCAGCCTTGTTGGGGTGAGATAGTATCTCATTGTAGTTTTGATTTGCATTTCTCTAATGGCTCATGATCATGAGCATTTCCTCATGTGTCTGTTAGCCTCCTGAATGTCTTCTTTTGTGAAGTGTCTGTTCATATCCTTTGCCCATTTTTTGATTGGGTTATTTGTCTTTTTGTTGTTGAGGTGTTGCAGTATCTTGTAGATTTTAGAGATTAGACCCTTATTAGATATGTCGTAGCCAAAAATTTTTTCCCAGTCTGTATGTAGGCTCTCTTTTTACTCTTTTGGTGAAGTCTTTTGATGAGAATAAGTGTTTGATTTTTAGGAACTCCCAGTTATCTAGTTCTCTTCTGGTAATTATGCATTGTTATTTATGGTTTGTATATTGTTTATGCCATGTATTAGGGCTCCTAGCGTTTTCCCTATTTTTTCTCCCATGATCTTTGTAGTTTTAGATTTTATATTTAGGTCTTTGATCCATTTTGAGTTAGTTTTTGTATGTGGTGTTCCAGTAGTTTTCTTGTGGATTCTTTGGAGTTTTCTGTGTATAATAAGATCATGTCATGTGTGAATAGGAATACTTTTACTTCTTCCTTACCAGTTTGAGTGCCCTTTATTTCTTTTTCTTGCAGTATTTCTCTGGCTAGGACCTGGAGCACAATGTTCAATAAACATGGTGATATAGGGCATCCTTGTCTGATTCCCGCTCTAGAGGGGAATGATTTCAGACTCTCCGTTTAGGATGATGTTGGCTGTTAGCTTTGTATAAATGTCCTTTATTATGTTGAGGAATTTCCTTTCTATTCCTATTTTGCTGAGAGTTTTTGTCATGAATGAGTATTAGACTTTGTCAGATGCCTTTTCTGCATCGATTGATAAGATCATGTGGTTCTTGCCTTTTTTTTTTTTTAATGTGATGGATTACATTGATTGTTTTTCTAATCTTGAACCATTCCTGCATACCTGGTATGAATCGCACTTGGTCATGGTGAATTATTTTTTTGATATGCTCTGAATTCTCTTAGCTAGAATTTTGTTGAGAATTCTTGCATCTATGTTCATGAGGGATATTGGTCTGTAATTTTCTTTTTCTATGGTGTCTTTACCTGGCTTTGGTATCAGAGTTATGCTGGCTTCATAGAATGAGTTTGGGAGTATTCCTTCCTTTTCTATGCTCTGAAATACCTTTAGTAGTACTGGTGTTAACTCTTCTCCAAAAGTTTGGTAGAATTCTTCAGTGAAGCCGTCAGGGCCAGGGCTTTTTTTGTTGGGAGTTTTTGTTATTACCTGTTCAGTGTCTTCTTTTGTTATGGGTTTATTTAGTTTTTCTACCTCAGTTTGTGTTAGTTTAGGTAGTTAGTATGTTTCTAGAAATTTGTCCATTTCCGCTAGGTTTTCCAATTCATTGGAGTACAAGTTTTCATAGTATTCTGTTCTGATCCTTTTTATTTCAGCTGGGTTTGTTGTGATATCAACCAACTCATTTCTTATTCAGGTTATTTGCTTTGTCAGTTTGGCTAATGGTTTATCAATTTTGTTGATCTTTTCAAAGAACCAACTTTTGGTCTTGACTCTTTTGGTTGTTTTTCTATTCTCCATTTCATTTATTTCTGCTCTAATTTTTATTATTTCCTTTCTTCTGGTGCCTGAGGGCTTCTTTTGCTGCTCTCTTTCTATTTGTTTGAGTTGTGGTGTTAATGTTTTGATTTTGGCCCTTTCTTCTTTTTGGATGTGTGCATTTATTGCTATAAATTGACCTCGAAGCACTGTTTTCACTGTGTCACAAGGGTTCTGGTAAGATGTGTTTTCATTCTGATTTGATTCTATGAATTTATTTATTTCTTCCTTGATTTCTTCTATAAGCCAGTAGTATTTGAGGTAGGTATTATTCCATTTCCATGGGGTTTTTTTTTTTTTTTCCCTTGCTATTTCTGTTACTGATTTCTACTTATGGCTTTATGGTCAGGAAAGATGCTTTGTAATATTTCAGTGTTTCGGATTCTGTTAAGGCTTACTTTATGGCCTAAAATGTGATCTATTCTAGAAAATGTTCCATGTGTGTTGGAAAAAAGTATACTTGGCTGCTGTTGAGTGGAGTGTACTGTATATGTTTATGAGGTCAAGTTGATTGATTGTGGCATTTAGATCTTTCGTGTCTTTATTGGGTTTTTTCTAGATGTTCTGTCCTTCACTGAAAGTGGTTGTGTTGAGGTCTTCTATTATTGTTATGAA